CTATCTTTGTTCATATCTATCCCACTCTGTTCATATCTATCTATCCCAGAATTATTCATAATCTATCTATCTATCTATCTATCTATCTATCTATCTATCTATCTATATATATATATATATATATATATATATATATATATATATAAAAATATATATATATATATTTACATATCCCAATCTTATTCATAATCTATGTATCTGTTTATCTATTTATCTATCTCAATCTGTTCATAACTCTTTGTTCATATCTATCTCATTCTGTTCATATCTATCTATCTATCTATCTATTTATCTATCTATCTATCTATCTATTTGTCTATTCCTATATATCTATCTATCTATGTTAGTCTCTTCATATCTATGTATATATTTACTTTTCTCTGTAATCCGAATACCTTTTTGTATTTCGAAATATATATTATCCTTTTCTTCTTTATTTCTCTCTTTAAATTATCTCATTTTTTTAGATAATTTTTCTTACTCTATTTCCATCGAACAACACTTATCTCAATTTCTCTCTCGCCTCTCGCCTCTCGCCTCTCTCTCTCTCTCTCTCTCTCTCTCTCTCTCACCATCTCCCTCTCTCTTTTTTATCTATATGCCTCCTTTTACTGTTTAAAGTATTTACGGATATTGCTCTCTATAACGATCTGTGTCTTCCTATAAAGTATTTCTGTTACTCAGTATTTTATATTAAGAAAATACTTTTCGCCATTGCACTTAATTTAATCATATTATTTTCCTTCATTGCTTTATCTATTTCTTTATATTGTTAAATCAATATTGCTAGTTTAAAGCTTTAGATTATAGCACCACATCGATTATTTGATTACCCTAAATGCATAGTAATTTGTAGATCGTTGAATTCGTTAACGCTCACATCAGTCAGGTACTGTGGCCTCAATGTATACTATACCGAGAGTTTTGTGACGTTTTCTCTATGATTTTATGCCATATATTTTTGAATCATGAAATACACAGATGATAATGTTCTTTTTGTCCTTCTCAATACTTTAGTATAAAAATGGTTCTAACAGTCGAGTACAATGCTCAAGACTTAAAGCTACAAATTAATGAATTCTTCTTTAATCATTTATTCCTTACTTTATTCCTAAATAGCTACCAGTTAAATACTAGATATCAGATCACTCTATCACTACCACTGATAGTATATAATCCAGAAATAACAACATCGTCGGGTCATTAGTAAATAAACCGGTTCTCCTAACAAGACTTTGCTTGTGAGAAATGAGGCTATGCACTCAACGGAATTAAAAATAAAACTTACCAACGGTATGATGAACCTTCTTGTAACTTCAATGACCATCAAGCACACTATAGTAGAATGGGTTCCATACCTATATATATATATACAGACAGTGCGGTTATTGACACGGCAACGCTGGGAGGATAGTTTCTTAGACAATGGCCAGAGTGGAGAGTTTCTCCCATGGAATCAATGGCCACATGTCCGTGACCAAAACAAGCTTTCAAATTGCAGAACACCGGGCATGGCTTAAACTAGAGAGATAGAGAGATGCTCTCAGCCAATTCTACTTGACAAAAACATGTTAGGAATTAAAAAATACCTCACACATTTTTAAGTGAGACGTGTGGAGGGGATTGGTCAGTTACTCAGTTGCGCAAAGACACTACGACCACACTCGGTCATGGGACGGATGATGATGATGATTACACACACACACATATAGAGAGAGAGGCGAGGCGAGGCAAGGCAAGGCAAGGCAAGGCGAGGCACGATGGAGTAGTGGTTAGCGGCTTGGACAGAGAACCCTGAGAGATGAGTTCGAATTCCAGTCGAATCCATTACATTCACTTACGTGATAATACCATTGGAAAAGTTGTGAATCTTCTTCTCCTCCCAGCAATGGACAAAGACACTACGATCTCACTCGGTCATGGGACTGATGATGATGATGATGATTACACACACACACACACACACATATATATATATATATATATATATATATATATATATATATATATATATATATATAGAGAGAGAGAGAGAGAGAGAGAGAGAGAAAGAGAAACGAAACGAAACGAAACGATGGAGTAATGGTTAGCGGCTTGGACAGAGAACCCAGAGAGCTGAGTTCGAATTCCAGTCGAATCCATTACATTCACTTACGTGATAATAACCTTGGGCAAGTGCTAGGAAAGACTGGGTTCTATAGCCTTGGATAGCAACTGGTCAAGGAGAAGGATAACTCCGAATTCAAAACCTGCAGTCGGTCGTTTGGGGACCCTGTGGCAAGTAGTGTAGCAGGTCTCTGTATTCGGACCTTTAGAAAGTGTGGATGGTTCTGCACAAAACCTTCTGCACTATAATCAAATCTCATGTGCCGGTGTCGGGCTGTCGGTTGGTTCCTAGGAACTGATCTGCTTAACCCTCATATGTCGAAGTCGACAGGAGAGTCGAGTAAATACATACATACATACATATATATATATATATGTAAGCAAATATATGGATATAGATCCGACAGTATGAAGAAAAATATACTGAAAAAACAAACAAAAATCCCAATATGCGATTATGCTGTTTTAATGTTCGACGTTGACATTAAACATTAAAACAGCATAATCGCATATTAGGATTTTTGTTTGTTTTTTCAGTATATTTTTCTTCATATATATATATATATATATATATATATATATATATATATATATATATATATATATATTATACGTTTTTGTAGTTTAGGGCAGAGTGCAAAATAATGATGACCTACTCGGTGCCGTGCTAACTTGGTCCCGTTGACGGGTACTGATATTGCTATCGAAGGGGGTTCTTATTTATAATACGCCACATATATCTTCAAGAACACTTTGTTTATCTTTAGAAATCCATTTTAAACTTTAAAAACTATAATTAAAAAAAAACAATAGGAGGAACAAAAAATAAATAAATACAATCTGATGATTCGTTGCTCTTAGTAGGACGAGAAATAAGTAGACTCTGAAATTAGAGACTGAATTTATGGACTGTCAAGGATTACTTAGACCTTCCAATGTTTACCCAAAAATATTGTGTTTTGTGAACTTTTGCGGTAAACATAATTTTGCTAATAAGAAATTTAAGATTTATGAAGATAATACTGGGATAATCTTTCCTAAGGTGTTTTATAATTGCATACTGTTCAATTATTAGCATTAACAACGAACTATTTTAAATTACAAAATTGTACTTAGATTAAACGAAAATTACTTGCAATATAATACACATTACCCATAATACATTCCTTTTTACCGTCAATTTTGACGGCACGGGTAAACTAGTATATAAATAATAACTGGACAGTCGCTTACAAGAACAACCAGTCAGCAAGGCCGGATAACCAATCCCTGTCATAGACGCCTGCTCAGGCAGATTTAAGTTTGTTCGAAACCCACAAAATACACCTGTGATTTATACTGAATTATACCGAACGGAAGAAGTGTAGTAATGGTTGGCGGCTTCGATTGAGGAATCGTAGAGCCGAACTCGAATTCCATTCCCTCGCATTTACTTAAAAGCTAATAACCTTGGGAAAGTTATGAATCTATCTCTTAAGTCATGGGTAAATCGCCTTGGTTGGCACCCGGTCTAGTAGAAGGAAAATTCTGAATTCAAACCACATGATGTCTTGTAGGTCTTGCGTTTTTAACTTGTGAGAGATGGCACAGTGTTATTTCAACATCCATGGTGCAAAAGGAACCTGCAAGGCATTGCCCTGTTTCGCTGAATAAATATGTTGTAATACTAATCGGAAATTAATTAGAGTTTATGGCTGAGAGCACATTTTATCAAAGAACTTTCATTGGCCAAACACACACACATATATATATGTATATATATCGTACAGGACAAAAATAAAAATAGATCAATTGGTCTAGTTTACAATACAGTAAAATATGAAGATATATATATATGTGTGTGTGTGTGTGTGTGTGTGCGAGTGCGCGCGCGCGTGTGTGTGTCTATTTAGGCAGCATACCTTCACTCAAGCATATTTGTTTAAATAATCTAGACATATGCCTAATTATTTTATTTTAGCCCTCTCAAATTCACGGATCAATTTCTTAGTGCTGTTACATAACTGAGTAAGAAAGACGCTGTAGTTTTGATTTTTTGTTTTTTGTTTTTTTTCCCCAAGTACTTTCATTTCACACACACACACACACACACACACATATATATATATATATATATATATATATATATATATATATATATATATATATATATATATATATACCTAGCATATTCTAGAATTTGAAAATACAGACAAATTATATACATTCAAAGAAGAAATTTTTATTCCGTAAACTAAAATGTGGTTCTCTTTTGCATTATTAATGTGTACCCCACCCCCACGAATACAGAATGTGACACGAAGTTAACTTTCCAGTGCGAGCCCACACGTACATTGCACAATGGAAAATCTATGGGTCCCCCTTGGCACCTTGTCATTGTCAGGTGCCAGGTAATAATCCAAGCCCCCCTCACAATGAGAGGTATTGTCAGAAGGGAGAACATTAATATTAAATATTATCAACCCCCAACTCGGCCAAAAGGTTAAGATTGTGTTTCGATAGAAAAAAAAAACATCCTGCTTGAAGTTTGTTCCACAAAATCAGCAGTTCCTGGGAAGAAGCTGTTAATATTTAACAGCCACCCACCCCGAGAGATGTATGTGGCACAAGTCCAAGTTTATCGTGGGTTTTCCGAGCCCGTAAAAATATTCCCTAAGAACCTACATAAGCGGGTTTAGGGTGTGTCTACCTCCCCCGGGCGAAACTTTGCCCTTCGACAAAGCCTCGTCCGGATTCCTCTCTGCTCGAGGAAGAAGCTGCTTCTAGGAAGAAACTGTTCGAATGGAACCTACTCCTTACTAATGGAATATGCAAAAAATAAGAATGAATCATACTTGTGTGCATGGCATGAGGGGTCCCAGCTGCAAAGGTCAGGGATGGGGAAACCAAAAAAT